AAGTTTTGGAATGAGGATTAGAAGAAATATGATCCATCAAGCCTTGAGCATGGTGTCTGGCATATTGCAAGCTTTCAGTAATTTTAATGTTATTATGGCTATAATTATTAATTAGATATTTTATTAGCTCTCACTTAATAAACTACAAAGCTTTTCCTGCTATGAAAAAGCAGCTTTATCATTCTGCTCTCTAGCCTGATTTTCTCCAAATCTTATTGCTTTTCCTTATGCAGAATTCTATGACAATGTGGTTTACATGATTTATCTTCTATAGCAAAGCAGTCAGAAAATAATTTCCACTAACCATTTTAAAAAGTCAGTTGCATATCTAAGGCTGATTGGATCCATTGACAGAAGAGTTTAACAACATAACCAGTTCAGAAGTTTCAGGCACCAGGGAGTATTGCTCCCTGATCTGTTCTACACTTTGTCCCCACTTCTTATCTCGTCTTTGATCCAAGATTATTCATCACCAAATCATGACAACCATAGGACTAATCAAAAAGCCTTGGTGGCACAAACAGCCAAGCACTCAGTTGCTAACCAAAAAGTTGGTGGCTTGAAAATACCCTGCTATTCTGTTGTAGAAAACCTTGAAGATGCACTTCTGTAAATATATCACAGCCAGGAAAGCTCCAATCTGTTACATGGGAGCTAGATGAATTGAAACTATATAGGTTGATATCCACTCCATGCATATTGCCTAGGCATTAGTAATTGTGTATCAAAAATCATAGTGCTTGATATAATTGAACTAAGGAAAGGTGTGTTTTCTGGATTAGCTCCTAATAAAATGGTTTGGAAAAATATCATAGTGCGTATATTGATTCCAAGACAGGAAACAGCACACAATGAATCTGAACTGGTTTGGCTGCTAACTGCAAGTTCAGCAGTTCAAACCCATTAGGTGCTCGAGCAGAAAAAAGGATGAGGCTTTTTATCCCCGTGAAGATTTTCAATCTCAGAAACTCACGGGCGGTTTTACCTGTCCTCTGAGTAAAAGTTCATTCGATGGCAATGAGTGCGCACAGAGTGGTTCTACATCTGAGTCAAAGTTCACTTGATAGCCTTCATTGTGAGCAAAAATAACAATAGCTATCGTTTATTGAGCACGCCTGACAGACACAATACATCAACTCATGTCATGTTACAATGTTCTTCTGAGGGTAACTTAAAAAAAAAATCTACAGAGTTAGTTTTTAAATGTTTTGCTCAAGGTCACACTTCTGGTGTGTTAATAACCTTGAAGTCAGACAACCTGACTGTTAGACCCAGTCCTCTGGTCCCCAAAGATGCCAGTTCTACTCAGCAAATGATGGTAAAATGAGTGAGAAAGTGTGGCAATTTTTTTTAATGTATTCATGATGGGCCAAAGTGATAAACTTCATTGGGAGCTAATAAAATGTGTTTAGCAGAAAAGTGATAATGGGGAGGAGAGACTGGAGGCCTTATTCAGAGCTGGTGGGGCTGTGAGTGGTGAAGTGACAAGGAAATGTGGTATGGCACTTCCTCAAAAAAGTTGGAACGCAAATACTTCTGTTTGGTATATATCCTCAAGAAATGAGAGCCCTGGCCGAATAGATGCTCCCAGGCCTGCGTTGTTAGCAGCACTGTTTACAATAGCAAAATGATGGAAACCTGAACTTCCTTCAGTGGAAGAGCAGAGTAGTAAATGTTGATACACACATACAATATAATATTACTAAGTAACAGTAAAGATTAGCAATGAGTCTGCATAACATCTAATAACATGGTTAAACCTGAAGAACTTTATGCTGAGTGAAAATCAATCATAAAAGTCAGACATTGTATGATACTGATATTGTAAAAAGTCAAGAGAGAGCCTTTGATGACAACCAGGGGCTAGAGAAGAATGGAGGTAAGAGAGGATAGAAGGCAGACACACCTACTCACTTGGATGAAGACGAAGACAATATATAATATTAAAGAGGTCAGGAAAAGATATGATGGAGGCTCAAAATGCTTAAAAGACAAGAGAGGCAAATACTGTTATATACAGTCCTCCTATATGGGGGATCTATCAGTAAACCATAGAAATAAACTCATTGCCATCAAGTCAATGCTGACTTATGGTGTCAGTGGGTTTCTGAGACTGTAACTGTTTACAGGAGTAGAAAGCGCAGTTTTTCTCCCATGGAGCTGCTAGCGATTTCAGACTGCTCTCCATGCCGATTGTTGCCCAGTGCATAACAACTACACCTTCAGGACTAAAGACATGATGGAGTTAAGAGAAGATACTGGAAGCCTTGCAAGAGTTAAAAGGCAAGAGAGGCAGATACTGTTGCATACATCATCCTGCCATTGATCTCTGAGTGAACCAAAGAAACAGGCTCACTGCCTTCAAGGCGCGTCTGAAATATTGAGGCTGAACAAGTTTGGAGAGGAGAGTGGGAATATGGTCAAGAACATATGGTGTTGACACAGAGATTATTGGCATATGAACATTTACTTTTGATACAAATATATTCCTAAATGTGATGGATCATGCAGGGGTCAAAATTATGAAAACTTAATATTAACCAAATGCCTGGAGGAATGAGGTGCTGGGTATGAGGGCTCAATACCAAAGTCCCTTGACTTAACACTTCACAGTGCCAGTGCTACTTTGGTCAGTAGCAACGAGGGCCTGAAAAGTACTTAGGATCCCAGGAAGGTACAACTATTGGTCTCTCTCTGTCCAGAGGAAAGGATAGTGATGACAATTGAAAGATGCATACAAACAATTAATTCAATGGACTTATAAACCATACAAGCATCAGGCTCCACAACTTTCAGACAAGAACTATGTGGTGTCTTGCTACCACTACACACTGCTCTGTAAAGAATTACCCTAGAAAGTTCTGGATAAAGTGGGAGAAAAATGTAAAAGAGACCAAGCTTATTGCTCAGATAGAGATCGTTGGGACCCATGTGACTATGGCTAATGATACAGGTGTGCGCTGAGCTTTAATCAGTTCAATGAATCAACTATGTAAAAATCAAAGGGCAATATTCACCCAAGGACAGTGGATCAGGTAATAAGGAGAAACGGAAACAGGAAGCACTTCAAGGAAGTAAAATAAAGGTGGGTCATTGAGAGGACTGAAACGAAGGAACGGAAAGAAAATGTGTTAAATTCTCAGGTGTAAAACTGATGATCTGCTGTGTCAACTTTCATCTAAATCATAATATAAAGTTTCTAAATGGGGCATGAGGAGTGAATAGTGAATGAAAGAGTTTTTACAAGAAAAATATCACCATGAACTAGATGGTCAGAAAGTAAACAATTTAGTTAAAGATATTGTATTTCACAATATTCTGATAATGCCCCATATGACCAAATGAGTTGCCAGCGTAATAAATCCACAGTTATGATTGAAATTTATATGCGTGCTCCTTGGGGAGTCATAATAATTAACCACGGTCATTTGCTATTTATGTGTCAAGAATAGGAACTGTGTTAAGGGATTTGCATGTATTAACTTCATACATGAAATAACCCCATAAGATATTATTGTTATCATGTTTACTTTAAACAGGAAGAAACATGTATGGAGATACTATATACTAAACAGATGTCCTGAGGAGATGCCAAGGGCCTCAGATTATCACCTCAGCTTTCTGCTTCAGAAACGAATGTTCTTACATACCATTCTGCTGTCTCGTGTACACTCTGCTGACTGATTTGGTAGATACCATAACCTGACTTTGGACTAATAATATCCTCAGCTAGAATCTCACACTGTTTGATCCACAGATCATTAGTTTGGCAGAATATTAGCAGATATTGGGGAAGAAAGATGATTTTGAACAAATATTATTGAAAAGATACCAGATGGGTATAAACAGGTTTTCTTACCAAAGCTCGTTGGTCAGAGTTTTACACACCCCAAGGTGAGTTCATTACCGCCAATAGGCACATTTGAGGAAAGGCTGGCCTACACTGGTACTTGCCATAGTATTCTGAATCATCCTGAGCTTCTATGAAATCAGAGGACATTTACTTTCAGATGATGCCAACAAAAGGAGCATTTCAAAATATACCGGATCAATGTATTTTGTAATATTCATTAAAAACTTATTTTCATGGCCTCTTGATAACATTTTCCTTTCCTAGAAACTTTGCTGCTTTTGGTTTTAAAAATCATTTACTCTTTTCACCGCCTTATGGATTTACCAACGACCCCGGAGGGAAGAGACATTTATTTCAGCCTGGGTGGCTTGAGAAAAGAATGAAAAGGTATTTAGTCATTTCATTCCAACCCTCACGTGATCTGTTAGCAGTAAAGCTGACTGTTGGCCAATATAGTTCAAACCCATTTTGTCTGTCTGAATCTGGTCAAGTATGTACTAAGCTTTTATTCTAATTTTCCTGTTTTAGTCAAAAGTTCTTCAGAAATGATAATGCCCGTGACTTTCTGAGAACAATGCTGCATATCTAGGCATGCGTGCATTAATATGACCTCCTCATGTTAATGAGAAAATGACAAAAATGATAAAAGACTTGCCCTATTGATCTTGTAGTACAAGGTCAATCAAAGGCAAAACAATCATTTCCAAGGATAGAGAAGGAGATGACTGCTGTGGTTGATAATTATAGGGATAAGCATGACCTGCGATCTAAATGGGTGTGTTTCTATTATATAGATCCCAAGAGGAGTCCTGGTTGCACAGTGGGTAAGAGACTGGCTGCCAACTAAAAGGTCGGCCTGTAGAAGGAACTAGCAGTCTGCTTCTCTAAAGATTCACAGATTTGGAAACAGCATGGCACAGTTCTACTCTATCCTATAGTGACACTGTGATTCACATGGACTTGATGGTATAGAGTTTGAGAGGTGGGGCTAGATGTAGTACATATTACATATTAGATATGCATATTGGCACAAGTGCATGTCCAACCTGTATAAGGTTGCTACCTAAATAGTTACTGTATTTTTTTCTTTTGAAAATTAAATTTTAAAAAATCACCCCAAGAAGACCAAAGACACAGTGTCACTTACCATATCATGATCTGAAACTGGTCCAAAACTGGTGACGAAGATGTCAGTCTTCACTTCGGTTACACGCTCTGATGAAGCAGGAAATTGGGACAGTGAGTTTCTATCAACAGCACTTATTCAATCTCACTGCCACATAGTCTGACACAAATGGGAAATTTATTGGCTTTGATTAGCTATTTCTAAAATTGGCCCGCTGTGTAGTCCTGATAATTTGCTGCTTACACATGAAATTTCACAGCTAATATCTTTGTCGGAGAAAGGAGCCTAAATATGCCACTTTGGGAGGACGAGTCCTTACGGAGAAGCCCGCTTCTGCTAATGAATTCTTCAAATGGACACACTTTCCTAAATGATACTAAACTGTCTCACATTGTAATCAAAATATGATCACATATACGTTATGTAAAAGAATCTTACACAGCCAGCTAGCTCCTTCAGGTATTGAGGTTGCTCTTGGAAAGTGTGTAAAATACTTTAGTAAGCTTTATTAAGTCCTGATTAATTCAATGGTACGTTTCATAAATGATTGATTTATTGCACTAAATCCTAACTGAATTATCCTAATCATGATCTGAACAAAATATGACAATCTGACTTATGTAAGCCTCTTCAATCTTAAAGATGGGGATTACCTATCATAGCAGAGAAAGAGTTCATTAAATAGATTCCATTTTAAGTTCGATGTGATTTTATTTTATTGCCCTCTAATGGCACATATTTCAACCAATAAAGCATATTTATTGTCATTCTGTGATAACTCAATAGAGGCATTTTCAGAGAAATACAGGCACTCACCAAGAAACAGAAAAAGGCTATTTTTCCGAAAAGGCAACAATTTGTTGAGAGGTCAGAATAGGAACGATGACTTTGTAGTTTTCAACATTATCTCTGAGAAATAACAATCCAATACTTTAGGCATCATTTTCCTTTACCAGAACGTTCATATATGTCTCCAACATAGAACATTAATGAAGTGAACTAATGTATGTAATAATGATTTCTTTGGAGATCAAGAACTAGCTTTATTCCTGAGCAATTCATTCATATATAGTTAATATTTTCTGTATAAATTTCCATCAGGGAGCCATGCTGTATACTTCACATAATGTGTACTTCAAATATCCATTTATCTAACTTATCCCATTGATTTGCATCAATTTCCCCCCTCATATTTCACAGGTTCTTAAATGTACACAAATTCTGTGCTATATAATCCTTCAGAGTTTATGCTTTAGAATTATGTTTGTAGAACTCACTTCCAACCTGGACTTTAACATGTTGTGCCAATTGTGAACGAATTGAGAAGCAGTTATCAGTAATAATTCTCAGCAGTCTTATCAAAACCATTCTACTATAATAGTGTCCCTCTTTTCACCCATCAGCATATATATATATATATATATATATATATATATATATATATACACCTCTCAGCATTTTATATCTTTCTTCATATGTATATGTACATTTTATGTAGGTACACACATGTGAATATATATATTTCTTAGCCAGTACATCTGTTCTTTCTTAAGAATCTATCAACAACTCACATTTATTGGAATTTCAGGAATGCGTCTCAGTGAAAACAATAATTATCTACTTATAGCAGTTAGAATTTATCTCACTATTAAGATCACATTTTACCTTTTCCTTTCATCATTTCTCTTTATGGATCAAGCAAAAGAATAATCACTTGAGTTTTCACTAATATTATAAGATGTATGTATTAGCATGAAAAAAGTAAAAAGACAACGGCTAATAGAAATTGGTCATTTTCTAACCTTTAATTCTTGTATGCTCCTGGCATGCCCCTCCTTGGGGATAATTTCTTATATAATAAGATATAACATATATTGTCTTGAATGACCCATAGTGGTTCAATGAACTAAGTGTTAAGTTGCTAACCACAATGTCAGTAATTCAAATATACCAGCCAATCCAAGGGCTAAAGATGAGGCCGTCTATTCCCATAAAGAAGTGCAGTTTCAGAAGCCATAAGAAGTTTACTCAGTCCTATAGGAGGATCATAATTAGTTGGAATTAGCTTGAAGGCAGTGGGTTTGGTTAGACTTTGGTTTCCTGTTCCTTTGAAAGGGTCCCTGGAAGCTAAGTAGGTGAGCACTCAGTTGCTAACCTGAAAGTTGGAGATTTGAACCCACTAGTTGCTTCATGGAAGAAAGATGTCACAGTCATTTTATATTTCAATTCACAGTTTTATAAAGCCTATAAGAGAGTTCTACTTTGTCTTGTATGGGCAATGAGGTGTAATCAACTTGATAACATGGGCTTAGATATTATATATTATGCTATATACAAGAAGTATTAATAAAATTATTGGAAAAAATGGAATTAAAAGATAATCTTTATCCTGATATACTTTTTGAAGCTCCTTCTTGTGTATAATTTTATTTTAAAATATTTTTTTATTATTTATATATTGATTTATTGCAATTAAATAGTTCTTAAACTATGCTTAAAATAGTTCTTAAATAATTCATATCCAAATTTACTCTCTACCTAGCCAGAAACATCTATTGATTTCTTTCTTTGCCAATAGATTGACTCACTTTGTTTGTGAGCTTGAACTATAATCCACTTCAGATTGAAAAAAATCAATTTTATGGAGACTAGTTTAAGAAATGAATATACATCAATGGAACCAAATTGTATATTATTATAATATTTATTTTTGCAGCAGGAACGGACCTTAATGTACGTTTACTTACAGACTATATACTAAGATCTGTCTGCTCACACACATGTGTTTGGCAGCCTGAGGCTGCTCTCCCCGACTCCCTTGTTACAATTATATAGTTCTTGAAGGTAGGGAGGGCATACATTCTATACTTCAAGACAACTCCCCAATATCTGAATTTGCTGAATTTACTTGGCTCCCAAGAAGATTTAGGTGCAACCAAGCAAGGTAAAATTCTGCAAAACATTTTGTTTACTAAATTTCCCTCCACTCTTTCAGATTGTTAGAAGACAGAAAAACTGTAAGGGTAGACAATCAAACAGACGTAAAAGTAAATATGAGTGCAAGCATCAAATAGAACACAAACTGGGATGAAGAGCACACTCACTTGCACAGATAATTGTCATTGTGCCCTACAGAAATTAGGCATACATGGACACAATTCATTAAAACAATGGCTATAAATTGTTTAGCCTATAATACAATAATCTCATATCTCCCCTGTTTTCTAAATCATTTACCAGTTCATTTTCGGTATTCGTATTTTCTATTCATCACTTTTTTAAGATTTTAGATTTCCTAAAAGTGACCATCATGATGTAGGTCCCATGCTCTAACCAAGAGCCTCAGCCCATGCGTCCTGCAAATGAGGTTCTTGCCAAGTACTCACGCACTGCATCTATCTGACCTTTGGAGTTCTGCTTTTTGTTTATGCACTTTCTCGTCTCAAACATATTCACGTAACCAGAATTAAAGTAGCACAATTATCAAATTCCAAAATCAAAATTTGCTGACTGGGATTGGCAGTGACCACCCACCCACTAAATGGGAGTAGTGAGTGATTAAATAAGAAGGAGAAGGAGCCCAGTGTCATGGAATTCTGGGTGTTTTAGGGACCTGGAGGAGAAAGAAGAGAGAAAATGAGAACAACTGCGTTCTACAATTCCCCTTGCCATTCACCCCAAGTTATCTTTGAACTGACATCAATGGTCAGTGAGTGCATGTCCCTCTCTGGGGCAGTCATGATACAAAACAAGACCAAA